TACCACTAGTCCCAGCAGACCCCCTAGAATAGCTCCATAACCGTTGGACATTGTAAAGAAGAGGACGCACACAAGAGGGCAGATTACAGAGTAGTAAATTACAATGCTGTGATTCAGGATTGTAAGTGACGTACCAACCACACCCACAACCATCGCGGCAGCCCGGAGGACCCACAGCATTTCTCTGTCTGATGCCTGAGGAAAAATGAAGATGAAGACATGAACTGCAAAGTACTGAGTGCTTTCTTTTCTTCCTACTTAGTTTTTCCATCAAACCACTTTATTCCATTTATGATCTCATGCACTCTGTTCAGTGTCTCTCAAAACAAATGGTACACCTTGACAATGGCAACAAATGCTAGTTGAAAAGAAAAAAAGCAAATGACTTCACCTGAGGATGTTATTGTATGTGCTGCAGCAGAAAACCGAAGCTGCAGAAAGCAACACGGAGTCAGTTGATGACGTCACGGCAGCTGCCACACAGCCAAATCCAATGATGGAGACAAATTGTGGCGTGAGGTGCTGCAAGGCGAGAGGCAGGACGATTCCCCACGTTCATACGGAGACGGAGAACCGTAGGAGGTCACGTCCCGGTCTGAAGCGTGGAGACAGAAGGAGGACAAACTGAAACATAGATGCAGTTTGAATGCTGTAAAGATGAGGCGAAGGTGTACAAGTGTCCATTAAACTGAATGAAACACAGTCTGATAAAAGAGCTACTGCTATCCTCCAAATTCCCACTTTTTTTAGGCATCTCCTGCATAATGGTCAAACTTTTTTTCTTTGACATTTTGCACCCAGCTGTGTTTTCCTCACCTGTCATTGTGAGGATCTTCACCACATGGTTGATGCCCCGATTTCCCAGCAGAAACATTTGGGTGTCTGCACTTCTCTGCTGCACTCTTTTGGACTTGAAAGAAGCCCAGATGCTGATCCCGAGGACCAGCAGGTAGAAAAACATCATCACAACTACACCTGGGATGTTCACAGCCATGATGGCCGGGCTGACTTGTTGCTTTCCTCCATGCTAGCTGATGTCTGATTGAGGAACGGAATGAGGAAGAGCACTCCAGAGGACAACAGGAAAAACTACTGCCGTCAAGCATCTTAAAGCAAGGTTTTTGCTTTTTACAGCTGTTGCACGTCACTCTGTATTATATCTATGTTTTGCATAACAGGCGGCGCTATCCTCCAGAGTCTTTGAGGGCACGCAGCATTGTCTGGTGTATGTGAACAAGTTAGATCTGCTGAGTTTGTGGGTCGCTGAGCAAAAACTTTTATGATGGCTTGCAGGCGACGTAACTACTGAGGTAAAGAGCAGCAGAGCGGCATGCAGCCAGAACGAACGAGTCCATGAACCTGGGCTCAGGACACAGAAACCCCGAAGTTACAGATACGAATCTTTCACAGCAGAAGTGCAGCAAAAGTCGTGTGTAAAAAGACAATCGTGAGGCCCGCTTTGTGAAGGGAAAATGACTTTCCTCTCTTGCCGTTAAGTTTCCAGAGATGGTATTGAACTTTTCCTCTTAGCTCCTCTAATTGAACCCTTTATGTATAAGTTCTGCAGATCATGTGTATATTCTTGACCCCATGTAGATCTATTGTAGGAGGACAAGCAGGCACTACCTGTACCTCTCAAGGCCAGATTACACCAAGGCTCTCTTTGTTACCTTCTCATCCGTACATCTGGATGTGACTCCCACCGAAGGAGGGTGTAAGACTGAAAGTGTGAGAGAAATCCTCAGCACTGATGCTGGCCTACATGTGTGAACTGCTGCTCTGTTAGTGTCACTTCTCCTGATATCAGAAAACCTTATTTCAGCCTCAGTCATGTGAGTCTCCGGTGTGTCTCTCTGTGTCGGCTTCCTCATCCTTCATCGACCTCTTCCAGAATTTCCACAACAGGCTTGACTTGTAACTGGTGATTTGTCTGTATTTCCAGCACTTGCAGCCAAATACTTAAACTTTTCATCTATCAGTATCTTTGTGCACATTTACAAATGTTTTCATGCACTGACAAGTCTCACTACAGACACACAGATTGAGATACAGACACACAACACATTTACAAATAGTTTAGCTCCAGTAATGCCCCCATACATGCAATGGTAGCGTATAAATGCATTACAAAAACCCAGCAAATGGATTAAATATTGCATGCCAAACCTTTGATAGCTGTGTGTCCAACCAGAACGTCGTATTGCGTGTAATGCAGTTCTTTCAGGGTACATCTTTGCTAATCTTAGTAAAATGGACCATGACTTCTGTACTATCTTTAGAATCATTTTTTGCCTGGTCTCTCTCCTCGGACCAATTTGCCTTTACACCTTTTGCCTCATAACATAGCTCCCAGGATTATAGGATCATACAAACCCCTCCACTGCAAGGTGGTGGTTCTTCGGGAGTCTGAGGCCATGGTTCTCTACAGGGAGGAGTCGCTACTTCAAGTGAATGACTTTAAGTATCGCCCATAAAGCTCTGACTGGTGAAGAACACCTGTTGTTTGCAGGATCTCTCCCATCTCTGCTGCTGATGCTTGTAGCTCCTTCAGAGGAGTCGTAGGTGTCCTGGTGGCCTCCCTTTCCAGCCTCTTTCCAGCACAGCCACTCAGTTTTTAAGGACGGTCAGCTCTTAGAAAATGTACACGTCATATTTCTTCTTTTTCTGATGGATTTAACTGCATTCCAGAGAATATTTGAGACTTGGAAGCCTTCTTTCTTTTCTTCTGACTTATGCTTTTCAATAATCTTCTCATAGAGTTGCTTGGAGTGTTCTCTTGTCTTCAAGGTGTAGTTATATCCAGGAGTACTGATTCACCAGGACCTTTCTAGATACAAGTGTCTGTATAGTACAATCACTTGAGACACATTCACTGCACTCATGATCTTTATGTTACCGTGTGACCTCTCGCACCGACTTGTGTGATTTGGGTAAATCGCCTTAAAGGGGAGCGAATACTTATGAAATTACTTGTTTTATATTTTTAATTACTTGACATCACTTTGAGGAAATCTGTTTTCGCTTTTATATAGGAGTCTTTTTTGTGAATTCTTGTCCCCCCAAAAAAAGCCAGAATTAATTGACTAAAGTCGGACATTAGCAGGCATAAAATGTAGCAGTACTTCATACACAAGCTAGTAACTGTTTTGCTCTCAAGGTGCTGGTCAAGCAGGGCTTCTTCCAGAGAATGTTTTCCTATTCTGGACGGGGCTGTCGTCTCCTCCGCAGGTAATTAGACTCAGTAAATAGTGAGTACTTGTATCTATAAAGGTATCATGTCAATACTCTCCATCTCTTGGATCTGTGTTCTTTCAATTACCAGATCTGATGTTACAGCAGCAATTTGCCGGCGTCAGCACTCCACAAGTCAACAAACAAGCAATCAGTATCTAAGATTGAGCTCTGAGAAGCTAACCAGATCAATGGAGTTTTCTTGCATAGAATTTCAAACACATCAAGGCACAGAAGTTCGGCTTCTTTATGAACTTTGTGTTGATCTTTTTTTTAAAAAGCTTTGTTTTATGTGCGACTTGTAGTGTTGAGAAGAAGATTTGATTTTGCTTAACTTGCTCAGCAG